TCTCTTAGTCATATTTTCAAAAACCTTAGCAAAACATGTCACCAAAGATATGGGCCTATAATTTAAAATATCACTTGCGTCACCATTTTTAAAAACCGGTACAATAATGGATTTTTTAAATGCTGATGGACAGTACCGAGTTTCTATTATTTTATTATTAATATGATTAAGTGGAGAAGATATTTTTTTGCTAATTTTTTGTATTTCTTGTAGATTTGTTTCTTGTAAGAGAATTGAGTTGTTTTGTGATGCTAATGATTCACCAACTTTATTATAGTGATTATTGAATAAATTTAATATTTTTTTTAACATTTGTTTGCGACCCCTGTAAAATATTTATTTATTGTACGATTTTAACCGGATTTGTTTTATAGTGTAGATCTTGATAAACTGTATTTTTGGAGCAAAAAAACGCCCTTTGTACAAAAGGCCTACTATATCAGTTTTTGAGAGTAACTTTTTAAGAATTCATATTTTCATTCATTTATTCATTTTGTTTTATTTTAGGTTTTCAAATATGTCGAAAAATTGTCTTTGATTAAGAAGGTTTGCCCGAAAAAATACAATTTAGTTTTTTATATATCTTAATTAAAAAGTATCCTTCTACAAAATTATACAATATAATATATTTATTAATGTTTAAAAACAATAATTATAAAGTGTAATTAAAATGTCATTCTATTGTTTGTTGGAAGGATCTGGAAACAAGAAAATTTAATAGGTTGGCTACTGGCTCTCGTTATCCGAAAACAAAAAAGACAATTGCATTATCTGACGAGAGAAAATGCTAAATACTTATTGCCTTTATAAGCCGGCGAAATAATCCCCTTATTTTTTCATATTACCGAAGTGTATACAGAAAGTTTTCCACAAAAGATTTAATTATTTTCATCTGCAATCCGGCAAGCGGATTAAAACTTGAAAGTATAACAAAAGAAGGAGGAACCGAAAACAATGAAAACAAATGCCATTGAAAGGAGCGGTGCAGTAAACAGACACCTCACTCATTTTTACACATCATTACAGTTTCCAAACTTTCTCAATTTTCTTTAAATTTATATAGTCAAGCAGGGTCTTTGGCACTTTACAAATTTTTAGTTAAATGTACTGTGAATTTTTACATCGCCCTCTAATTTCTGCGTTAGAGCCTCGTAAAATCTCAATCATTTTTATTATCACTATAAACGAAAGTTGTCCAATTTTTATTAACATCGTCCTTTTTGCTTGATACCAATACGTTTTCAGTCCTATTAAAACATCTTGTTTCATATAAATTAACACTACTTTTAAATTTATATTTAAAGGGGTTTTAATTGTACATACATAAAATATTCATAAAAAAAATTTACTTACTGAGATATTACACTTCAAGGTGGACTCTCATCTGCATATAAATTCTAACTGACCTTCAGGAATCAAATGCATCTATAATGTCGTAAACAGAGGTTTTTGCTTATTTGAAATGATTAAAGCGCCATCCGTTGCATAAAATTGGAAGCAAAAACAGATTCACGGAGGATAGAATCAATTTTTGTAACACATACATAAATGGATATAAAAATTATTTCTTTTAATTTTTAATAATATTTTATATTTGATTCGATTGCTTTGGATGTGTTTAATTTACTTAGTGAACTGATATTTTTAGTATGCTTATACTACCACAGATATTTGAAAACATAAAGGTTGACCTAGAAAAAATAACAGTCACGGAGGATAGGTTTTAGACTTTTAAAACATTGTAAAAAATAATTAATTGCGGTTAAAAATCTGGAACCTGAGCTGTAATATCTACTTAATTATAAAAGATCAAAACACAATAAAAGTGTTTTATCTATTTTGGTTTCATAATGACTTCATTATAACACCGCTTTTGGTTCTTTAATGAGGTACTTTATTCCACCCAAAATTTTGATTTTATAGGTTGGCTACTGGTAAAATACAATTTTGAATACCTATAGGTTATAATATTTTTATGATTTGTTTTCTAGTACTTACGAGTCTTTTCGTGCAATAAATTTTGTTTAACACCAAAGAAAATCCTTTTTTCTTCTTTAACAGCCGCTTATTGTAAATACTTATTGTAAATTAACGACGCCATAGCGAAAGAATGTGATAATGTTTGAAAGGTTAATGACCTTTCAAACTTCAAACTAAGATACCAACTATGTAAAGTAAAATTCCACCAAATTAAATATAAGGGATAAAATTAATTTGTTTTATGAAATGTTTGCAAAATAGATAAAATAGCATAAAGAACTCATGTCATAAGACCTTTTGTCGCACTTGTCCATTATAAAACTCGCTCCTTCGTCGCTCGTTTTATAAATTATCCGCGTGCGACAAAATGACGTCTTATGACATTAGTTCTTTAATATACTATTATTAAATATTACGGGGTAACACCATCGGGTAACATTTCGTGAGATTTACCCAGATACAAAACTGTATTTAGAACATTTTACCTTTTTATAAATAAATTATAAAATTATTTAATCATTTAATTATTGAACCATAAAATTTTAAAATTATAAGATTAAATTTTATTAGATACAAAACTTCAGAACATTCCAAAATTATTCTATATTACGCAATAAAGAGTTTGTTGTTATAACAATAATTACAGGAACTCTTGATGTTGGCAAAATTATTCAATCCGATCGAATATTCAAGTCAGCGAATGCACAAATTTGAATTCTTGGCTGGACTAAAACTGCGGCCAACTAAGGGAGAAGTTGCAAGTAGTATACCGGCGGTAACAGTGGTCCTGCAATGTCCTGCAGGACTGCATTCAAGATTTACTTGTGTTTGTGTTTGATGCCGTTTGTAGAGACGGTCGGTCGACAATCGACTTTGCCGAACGTAATTCTTGCAGATGAGGGTTCACTTAGGTAAAGTATTTGTTTTATTTGACTTGGGCCGGCACAAACATTGCGAAGCAACTTGCCGGACGTTCACTCACAATTAAATTCCGATGCCTGAAGCAATTATGTGCATTAATGAAAATTTGATTTGTGTTTGCAAGATTTGATTAAAATTAGTATTAAGCTATTGTACAAAATAAAACGTAATTATAAGAATATTCTACTAACCTAGGCGCATTTGCCAACAAAAAGTTTTATACATTATAAATTTAGATGGTCCTAAATAAACAGTTTTAAAACATAATAAAACTGTTTTTTAGGAAAGTTTTAGAAACTTAAAAAATCAACAAAAACTACGGGAAAGTGGTTTATAACTTTTATCATGGGGTATTAAGTTTTACAAATAACTGCTACGTGATGACAATAACAAAAATTGGCGCTTAAAACTTAAAATTTCATTCGAGTTGCTTTGGAATTCTTAAACAGGTGCTTTTAAAAACTTATTAAAATTAGAAATTCTTGGCGACACTCCTAAAGGGCAGGGAATTTTTCATGAAATTTATATGAGTGGCACTTTTAAGTGCCAAAAGTTGCAGTTATTCTTCGCAAATAAATTGAATGTTAACGGATTAACATAAAAAAGCAATTTTGTGTTAATGCACTTTATAATCGACTATTAAAAGAGAACATTAATATACAACACGGTGGATCATAATTTTAGTTAAATTTCTTAAATATTCCAAAGGATTCAGGGTAAGTTTATTATACAAGATTTAATAAAATATATGTAATAATATTACATAGTAATATACAATTATTAAAAAAAATATTTTCCCAAATATAAAGAAAAAATATACATTGGAAGTTTTTATATTTTTTGTGATACTCCACTGGTTATTTACTTATTTTCTGTGAGTATGTAGATACCAGTTGTACAAAATTGTTACTAAAAATTTTTCTTGTAAAAAATAAATAAAAACTCAATAAATAGAAAAGTTTAATGCTCTTAAAGCTCTAATACCTTCTGTATTTATTTACTCATCCAGCTATTAGCTTAAGCAATGATTAAAAAATTTAGTGCCTATTTTAAAAACTCCACAACCACGAAATTAATTTTTTATCGGTTTTTTATTTCTGAGTAAACAGATGAAATTAGAACAAATTCACAGGTTAAACTTTAAACATTCAATTTGTGTAAATAAATCCAAAACCACTTCCCATAGTTAAGATTTGGGCCCATAAGCTAAAATTTGAAAGAAATGCACTAGATTCTGTATTAAAAGTTGCTAGATTTTGTTTGAATTTACCTTCATTCAAACAAAAGCTGGCAACTTTTGTGTTGTTCTTGGAGCAAAAAAAACGGTATATTTTTACAAAATACAAGGCCTGGTTTAAAAATAAGTTTTTGACAATAATACCTTTAAAAAATACCATTCTTTCAAACAAAAAATTAAAGTGTTTCTTCATATAAACACTAGATATTTCTCTTTATATAAACTTTAATTTGTACTTATTCTTTTAGTAACTTGGCAAGCCTGTTTCTTTAGTAGAGTATTGGTGCAATTTAAACCCCAATATTTTATTCAAAGACCTTTAAACCCTTAAAACAGATTGTTATTTTAAACTAAACTTTATACTGCAGTATTTATTTTATTTTAAAATTGGCATGGATTTGGCTTATAAGCCAAAAACAAATAAACATATCATACCACCCGAAACACAAATTAATATTTATAGTAAAAAGCCCATCAATTACAAGCGAATACATAAAATATTCAATATTTTTAATCTGCAGCACAATATTTGAGCTGCTTGTTCAATATTTGCTCTTCTTATTTGCAGCAAAGTAATCTTTTTAAAACGAGCTCGAAAAACGATAACGACAACTCCAAGTATTTATGTTTGTCCAGCGTATATGTTATATGTAGTTGTGCTGCGTTTATACGGCAATCTTTCAATTTTCCCACAACTTTGCCAAGATTATAAAAGGGACCTCGGAGATTTACTGATGTTATATGTTATATTCGGATCTTTTATTTATTTATGAATCTTAAAAATGTCATTCCCTAATTGAACAGAGTTTCAGAAAATAAAGTTTTATTTTACTACATAATAAAATACCTACAAACTCTATCATCAACACATATGGACTGCTTCTCCAGGCGCGGGCAGATAATCCTTGGCTTGCAGCAATATTTTTTTGGCATCGCGATACTCATTAGTGTCACTATAGGCGGAATTATCACTCATAAACTTTTTCAGATCGTCTGTCGCCTTTATGAGGCGTCTCTTCGTATCGGGAATCATTGTTTTCGTTTCAACAAGAACTTGCTCTTCCTGACTTAGGACTCTTTCGTTGGTGCCGTCCCTTTTCAGTTTTTCTATCCTCACTTTTTGTAGTTGCACTTCCTGCTCGTAAACATCTTTATCTTTCATGAGGCGTCTTACCACTCCCGTTTTGATTTTCAGGCTTTTGAGAACTGCTTGATTTAGTTCCATGTCAGAAAGTTTGCATTTACTGGAGTCCCTATATATTTTTTGACGTTTTTTTAAAGGTTGTCAAGCTATTATTAAAGCATATAAACTGCTCATCATTTTTAAATAAATAAGTAGTTTTTCAACAACAAAAAAGGAAGGAAAAGTCTTAAGCCTAATTTATAGATTGCTTTCCTTCCTTCCTTCCGTAGAAGATGAACAATACGAAAACCGTAGTGCTGTTTATAGATTCCCGTACCCTAAGAATGCCCTTCCTTCCTCCTGTAGAAATTTTCAAATTGTATCTTTCATCACAGTACTTGATATAGACATAGGAATTAATTATAATCCTTATCTAACATCGGAAACAGATTTCAATGCAAACAATCAACATCAAGCAATAAATAAATAATCGTCTCACACTATTTCATACATTCAATGTTAAAAAACAACAATTGCATACATAATAACAATTAAAACAATCAAACAGACCAATAAAACAAATCTATCCTTTAATGACCAATCTAGTAGGTTGTTTTTATATGTTTTCCTTCCGTTCGTATTACAAAACACGTAATACAAATCGTTTAGCCTCAATACAGGCGATGTTCCGTAGCCCGTAAAGTAGATCGTAGTTCGTAAAAGCCCAATTCTCAAGATAGTCAGCTCGTCATGGCCCCCTACCGATTTCACGCGACGCCGAAAAACGCAAGAATCGCAGTAGACGACGCGTAGCCTAAAGATAAAGAAGAGGATCGGCAGCGTCATAGGCGGGTATTCGAAAAAATAAAGAAGGCAAAGTTTTTATAAAATAATGTAGGTATATAAAAATGTCATGAAGTTTGCTTAAACTAACCCATTATATTATATTATGTATCAAGTTTGATAATAGTATATTAAAGAACTAATGACATAAGACGTCATTTTGTCGCACGCGCACAAAAATTCTATAAACAAATTAATTTTATCCCTTAAATTTAATTTGGTCGAATTTTACTTTAGATAGTTGGTATCACAGTCATTGGTTTGACAGTTAATGTCAAAATCGATTCGCCATGCCGTCCTTAATTTACTTATTTACAATATGCGGCTGTTAATGTTAAAGAAAAAAAAAAGGATTTTCTTTGGTGTTAAATAAAATTTATTGCCAGAAAAGTCTCGTAAGTACTAAAAAAATCATAAAAATTTTATAACAAATATGCAAAATATTATGCTGTTTAAAATATAGCCAACCTATAAAATCAAAATTTTTGGTGGGATAAAGTTTCTCATTACAGCACCGAAACCGGTGTTATAATGAAGTCATTATGAACGTAAAATAGATAAACGCCATTTTAGACACGGATTTAATCTAGGCACCAGCGACCTTGCGGGCGAGTGCTTAATTAAATGAGTGTCTAGAAAAGTTTATAAACGATTATGTATAGAGCGACATCTATACAACAATGTGGAAAAACCTTTTTAAAGTGTCTAAAATATTATAAAAACTATTTAAAAATGTCTTTTGAATTTTTTATTTTTTATTATATTAATTGCAAATAATGTATTTGTCGGAAAAACAACACTTGTTATTTTGTGAAACATTTGTCAAGAGCATTTTTGTCTAAAACTTTATAAAAATCCTAATTAAATAAAAATGCAATTTTACATATCTGTACACATTTTTTCGCTTTTTCCAATGATAAACAGGATTAAGTCCTGGCTTACTTAGTTTTTTGATGTATCTTACAGGGTGTCCCAAAAATAGTGTGCAATTCTCTACACATAGTAGGAAGTAGGAAGAAATCTTCTACTCTCTAAAAATGAGTTAGTCAAAATGACTAATTTAATAGTTATTAGTGGCTGCTTTTTCACTTGTACCATGGTTTACCATGGAATACCATGGTATCCCAAAATTTAACATCTAATTCTTATGTAAAATTGTCCCCTGAATCCGAAAATACCGTCAAAAATTATGAAAGTGGAGCAGTTTTTAAGATATAGTCAATTCCATATTAAATAGAAAATTTACTATTTCTCAAAAAATGTTCTACTTTTTAAACTTTTAACGGCATTTTCGGATTTAGGGGACAATTTTACATAAGAATTAACTGTTAAATTTTGGGATACCATGGTATTCCATGGTTAACCATGGTACAAGTGAAAAAGCAGCCACTAAAAACTATTAAATTAGTCATTTTTGACTAGTTCATTTTTAGAGAGAATAAAATTTAAAATTGTTATTTATTTAGCCAAAAAAAAATTTTGTGCAATTTTTTTTGCATTTTGGCTGCAGAATATAAAAATTTTGAGTTGGGTAATTTTATTTTTCCTTTTCAATTTAAGTTATTTAACAAGATATATTTATTAATAAAAAATACATATTTTTCCCGAAAATACATTATTTTATCTTCAGAAATAATAATAATAAAACATATTTATGGGCGCACCATTTCCGGCATATGTTCATATAAAGTTTTCTTTTTATTTTTGGCCCTAAAACCACTTGTAGATTATTGCACAATATTTTTGACACATCCAGTTTACTTAATTTTACGTTTGCTAATAAAACTCTTTGGCGAAAATGTAGACGGCACTGACAGCATATCGGTGGGCCGAAATCTGATCAGGGCCCGCCTCAAGTGAGACATGAGTCTACGAAGGCGATTTTAAACGGGTCAGCTCATTGCAATAAATTATTTATTTACCGAGCCAGTTCATTCCATCTATTTTATGTTCTTTTGGGCGGGTAGAACCGGGGGTAGCGGAGAGACGGCGGGTCAGCGGCGACTCGTGTGATTAAACGTCCGAAGAATGGGACGTTTTAATCCATCATCGATATAACGAGATATGCTCGATAAGTTTTCCTTCCTTCGCAGGAAAGTTGCGAAACTCGGATTAAAACAGTTCGGGCTATTAAAATGTTGGAAAATTTACGTTGTTACTAAAAAAAAATAGTTTAGAATATTATAAAAAGTACAAAATCAGATTTTTTAACTTGAGTAGTTAATTAATCAATATTGATTAATGGGTTATGAAAAGTCTTGTTTTTATTCATGTATAAAATGTTTTAACAAATTACCTTATAACAATAAGCCATTAAATATTTTTAGTCTTTTTAAAAACGTGTTTTTAAATATTTGTTTTTACTTCATAAAATTATTATTATTATTATTATTATTATTATTATTATTATTATAATTAGAGTACACTCACAGGCAAAATAATCGATCCACACAAAGTTTCGATGAATTTCAATCGCAAATAACTTTTTTATTTGATGTCGGATTTAAACGAATATTAATATTTAAAAAAATTACTAAAAAATAGACGTACGTTTATAATATACAGGTTTAAACAAAAAGATGTTTTTTACCATAAGTTTAAGACACTTTGTAGAGTGGCAAAACCGTATATTGTTCTAAATTAAGTTTTATTTATCAAGTCACATCTATTCTTAACAGTTTTGTTTTTGGTTCACCTCGATATATTTATTTGTGTGGAAAATATGGATTTTTTAAAAAAACATTGCAATTTCCAATATTTTTCTATATGAAGAACTAAGGTTGCTATGGTCCATCCATATGCTATGGAGAATGACAGTGACAGTTTTGTTGAATCATCCCATACTTTGACATGTCATACACGGCTTTCAAAAGCTATCAAATTGTTTTTTGCAAATTATTGTTTAAATTTTAAGGTGTCTTCTCAATTTACAAAAATGGATATGTCTCCGACTGATGTTGCCAGAGCCATTAATTTAATCCAGGATGGACGGTCACAGTATTACGTGGCAAGGGTTTTAAACGTCACAAGAAGTAAAGTACATAGGGCAACATCAGTCGGAGACATTTTTAAAAGTAAGAAGATACCTCAAAATTAAAACATTAATTTACAAAATACAATTTGATACCTTTTGAAAGCTGTATATGACATGTCCAAGTATGGGATGATTCAACAAAACTGTCACTGTCATCCTCCATAGGAAAAATATTGGAAATTGCAATGTTTTTTTTTTAATCCATATTTTTCACAAAAATATATATATCAAGGTGAACCAAAAACAAAACTGTTAAAAATAGATGCGACTTGATAATTAAAACTTAATTTAGAACAATATACGGTTTTGCCACTCTACAGAGTGTCTTAAACTTATGGTAAAAAACATATTTTTGTTTAAACCTGTATATTATAAACGTACGTGTATTTTTTAGTTATTTTTAAAATGTGAACGATTCTCCATTAATGTATCTATAATATTCTTTAATATTTGTTTAAATCCGAAACCAAATAAAAAAGTTATTTGCGATTGAAATTCATCGAAAATTTGTGTGGATCGATTATTTTGCCTGTGAGTGTATGTGAATAAAAACACTTAAAAATAAATAAAATGCATGACCTGACCACAAAAATAAGACTTGCAATTTCAAACTGGCTATAAATATTTAATTTAACATCAAAATATTTTATATTCGTAGCTCGCTCGTCCAACAGTAACATTTTATATACTATTTTAATTTTATTAAATATTTTTATGCGCGAAAAATTACATTAGACATTACGATTGCGCCGAGATTTAAAGTAAAACGTATTCGGAAGGTGACCGAGGCGGCTGTTTAGCGCACCCGCGAGACTAAGGACTTTATTTGCACTTACTGTTATAGACAAACCCAAGAGTGCAAAATTATTAGATTTACAGCTTAAATCCCCGACAATCCTATACATTCATTCAGGACCCGGCTTTAAAGAAACTTTATTACTCCTGCTCTGCCCTGCTGAAATATATTTTTTATCCCTTCTTACGTCTTAAGAATTCTAAATATCTTTGACACTCTAAATTTATACTATCAAGGAAAATGTAGGTTATAATACCTGCCAATAAATTTGGGTGCAAGTCATTAAATAAGAAAAAACTTCCTATTCGTGTGTATATAAAATACAATGGTGGTTTATTTATTATTTTTTAGTAACTTTATTATCATTATATTACAGAATAGACTTGAAGGCATACTTAAATAGTTAACTTAAATAATAGTTCACACTAAATTATTCAACCATGACTAATTATTTTTAATTTAATTCTAATTTATTCCTGTTCATATCGATAGACGACTTTTTGCCTTTCCTGCTGAGGCTGCTCCTGCTCCTGAGGTTGATGTTGCTGCTGGTATCTTGGCCTTACTTGTGGTTGATACTGTACCCTTTGCCCATTCTAAAAAATTATAAAGATTTCAACAAAACTAAACAAAAAGAAGCCTTAAAAAATAAAAACAAAATGTGAAATATTTTTTAAAAAATTTAAATTGTACAAATTAAACGGTAAATATATACGCACTGGAAGGTATTGCTTTTGGAACTGCGGATCTGGCTTTGGAATTTTGACGACAATATCAGTCGGTTGCCTGGTGACCTGTAAAAATATATCCGGACATTAAAATCCACAACTGGAAATTCCTTTAAAAACCCACCAGTCAAAATTACTGAAAAAATTATAAAAATATCGATGAGTTTCTGCCAAAGTATCGCAAGCAACATAACTTAAATTTAGGGAATCGAAAACATTTTTTGTCTTAATGTCTGTTTTAAATTAAATATAGTCTAAAGGTTTCATAACAAGTAAATAGCTTATAATTATATCTATTTACCTGTTATAAAACATATAGGTTATATATGGTTTAAAACAGACTTTAAAATAAAAAATGTTTTCAATTCCCGAAATTTGAATTATGATACTTTGGCAAAAACTCATCGATATATGGAATAAATTTGATGATTTCAGAATGGTGTTATTTAATTGTTAATACAGTTTTAAAATGGTTTCAAAGTTACTTAAAAACAGATATCAAAAAACTAAATTTAATGGAACAACATCAAACGAAATACAAACTTCATGGGGTGTGCCTCAAGGAACCGTTTTGGGACCAATTTTATTTAATATATATCTAAATGATATTATACATTGTGTAAAAAAATCTCCATCTTCGCAGATGATACAATGATTTTTATTTCTGGAACAAATATAAGGGAACTTTGTAATAGTATAAATGAAGACCTAAAAAATCTAAACTCTTGGCTATGTGACAACATATTAAGTATTAATGTGAAAAAATCAAAGGCTATAATATTCGGTAGCAAGAGTCAAACTGTCCAAATAAATGAAACACTATTATATGTAAATATAGATAATAAAAAATTAGATTTTGTGAAAGTGATTAAATACCTGGGGGTACAACTGGATCAAAATCTTACATTCCATGAAAATGCTATGTATACAATGAACAAAATTTCAAAAAAAGCATTTTTTTTTAAGAATGAGTAAAAATTTAAGTTTGCAAACAAAATTATCATTATATATAAGTTTAATTGCCCCTCATATTGACTATTGCTTCACAATCTTATCTGGTTTGCCATCCTATCGTATTCAAGAAATGCCGCTGTATGCGGACGATTCTGTCCTGTAATAGGTATACACAAATTAAAACAATGTTAAATGTTCTAAATTTAATGTCCGTCAAATATAGAATCTTATTTAATGTATTAATATTTATTTATAAAATTAAAAACAAAATGTTGCCGAAATATTTACACGAAAATTAAGAACTGATTTCGGATCACCATGTATACAACACAAGAAACAGAAATGACTTTAATGTGAAACTTTGCCGAACTGCGCAACTAAGAAATTTTGTTTTAACAAATGGTTTAATACAATTTAATAATTTACCAAGTGAAATAAAGTATTGTGATAATTTTAATACGTTTAGAAAATTGTTAACTAAATCTATTATCTTAAAACACTAATTGTGATCCCCATTAATATATTGTATTTGTTATATAGTTTTTACATTCTTCTATCTTGTTATTTTATTCGATTTTATTGTGTTTTTCACCATATATTTATTATTCCGTGTTATATTTTTATGTTTTACTTTTTTATTTATATATTTTTCTTTATGTAATGTTTTTTATAGCGAATCTGCTAAATAAAGATTATTTATATTATTATTTTGTTTATATGATTAATCAAGCATTTTTTTAATTTAAGTTCCCAATTTCCCCAAAAAATACTTTTGTTACTGGGTTATAAATATAAGGCCTTTTTGAAAATTACAAGAATTATTTATTTTCTTAGCGTTTGCTTCCATAGTGCAAGGTGTGAATAGGTTTAGCACCTCCGCTTCATTTTTCATCGAATGTTGCCCTAAAAATGCCGAACGCGGAGTTAGCGCCTGTAATGGCACTATAAATCGAGTCTATGAAATTTTATTGCTTGAAATTTAATTCTACCACTGCAATGAACAGATTGACAAAGCCAGCGGCTAGCGGACCAAAAAGAGAATTGATTTCCTTTTGCACACAATGTCCCAAACGTTAACATGTTTATTATTGTTCTACTATTACCTGGCACAATTTCGTCGATTCTAGGAAATTAAATTTGAATTTAATTTCGGTAAAAATTTACGTTTTGGTTTAGTAGCTCGTCTATAAATTTTATGACATTTTATACAGTACATTCCATTTCAAGTGTGATTTTCAGGGCCATTCACCCCTGTACATGCTATTTTAAGTTTTTATAGTCTAATATTTTTTTATAAAGCAGAACTTTTTATAAGGATACATTTTTTTAATAGAATTAATAATAAAAAAGTTTTTCATATGCCCAACCAAAATTATCAATCTGTCATTATTGTCTAAAAGTTTCAATTATCTAGGTATATTTGGTTTGATTTATTTGTTGACTACCATAATTTCGTTTTTAAAAACTATTTAAATACTTATTTGTTTAAAATAATTAGACATTTTAATAAAATGTCTAATTATTTTAAACAATGATTTTATGGTTTTCTTCTCTTTGTTTTCAGCTCATTTCTGTTCGTTTTCTGTTTTTTGTTGCAATATTTTTTGTTTCCATAACGTTTTTTAATAATTTTTCTTTGTAGTGAACTTCATTCGTTTTTACAACTAATTTTTAGATTTTAAATAACCCAACATATAGAACTGTCACTGCTACTGTCAAAAGCGAAACGCTTTTCCATAAAAATCAAATATCAAAAACTCGATAAATTTATTTTCAATTTTTCGAATAATAATTTCTTCTGCTTGTTATATAAATACCATTTACTACGAGAAACTTCTATTTTGTTATGTAAAACAAAATACAATTGTAGATTTTTCAAAATTAAAAATTGTTAAATTTTTTTAAGGTCTTAAATCAATTTAGGTCCCATCTTGGGTGGTCCAATTATTTTGTAGAAATTGACTGCTATCTCATTTTGTGATTATGAATCAAGGTTGTTGCTTTCAACTGACATGTCTACAATGTCTACAATTATTTGTTAAAATTTGAAAACAAATATCTTAAATTTTCAATATCAAATATCTCATATGAAAAAACTTCATTTGACTATTTGATTTCTCCTTACCAGCTCTTTATATTAGCGCTTCAAAAAAATATTTTAAAAATTTTAATTTTAAAACTCTGTATTTTTGATCACCCTGTGCAACAAAATATATGTTTCTCAATGCGAATTGTATTTATATAACAAGCAAAAAAAATTATGAAAAATTACTTTTCCTCTAAAACTTCAAAATAATTAATCTTTTTACAACACACTGTTTATGTATAGTGGCTTTTGTGTTAAAATAAAAAAAATTATTATAAAATCATTTAGAAAATAGGCTGTTTTTAAAATTAAATTTAATAAAATGACAAAATAAATTTTGATTATGCATAGAATCGATTTTTCCACATTTTATCCCAGAAAAATTGTTCTAGATGATGATCTGCACTTATATTTTTCTGTGCTCTTATTTCTTTCTATATAGAATGTTTTCTACATAATATAAAGTCATGCATAACGCAAAAGCTAATAAAAGTCGCAAATACCTTTCCAAAAGCATAAACAGTTGGAACAGTAAATTAAATTTACAACGGTCCATATTTACATGCTAAATTTTCCGTGTGGAATTTTATTGTTTTGGGGCAATTAAAACTTTATCAAACTGCATCAAAATAAAGTTTTCGCATGAAGCCAAACCGCACAATGCACTCTCAAAATGGCATTAAACTTTTTTAGGAAGAATAAAATTAAAAATGCTTTTTGACTATAACAACTGTAATAAATCCAATTGTTGAATGCTAAATTATTGCAAACTTAGAGTAATTATTGGACATTATAAAGTGTAAAAATAAATTTCTTACCTCTGCTTTGAATCCTTCCTTCGGATCGGCAGTGTACGTAACTGTTCGAACAAAACCGTCCGAATCGACGACCGAATAGCTGCCCGTAATTTTGTTACCCTCCCTTTGTTCCTTTCGGTTCTGGTAGTTTGTGTACAGGTCGTCCTTCACGTCAAATCCGAACTGATAAGAAGGATTGTGCTAAAACATAACATTATTCGTCTTAGTTTTTAAAATTATAAAAAAATCAATCTTAAAATGAAAAATATCTATTTATAAAGATACAGAATGATAAACCTATTTAAATCTTAGATATCAATTTGTTGACCATAAAAATTGTTTGACAATGATATTACAAATAATATTTACTCACACAAAGGGGTGAAGGAACCGTCTATAGACAAATAATTAAGATAATTATTTTACTATCGGTGTATACAATCTATTCGCGTTTTCGTTTGTGGCTTCGGTATTGTAGTTTGCATTATTAGAAGGAATTGTTTATTAGTTTATTAATTTGAACGTTACGAATTCAGACTAGGTATGCAAGTAATAATCTACTTTCAATAATTAATTACTTATGGAAAATGCCAGTCGTACGGAACTTCGAAAAGTATTTCTTCCATTATAATATTAAATTAATAAATCTTTTGGTATTGAGTTGTTTGAACAAATATTAAATATTTAAATTAATAATGTTAAAATAGAAATAATGTATTAATAAGAAAGTTACGACATACAGCTGAATATTCTGCCCCGCAGTGTTGAATTTTATACCTTTATTTTTAAATATTCGCATTTGTAAATTAAAATAATAATAATTATTATAATAAAGTAAAACTTTAAATTTAGGTTATGCCTGATTCATTAATGTAATTTACCAAATATGGTTATGTATGTATATCTATATATGACTTACAGATCCTTAAAATATAATGTCGCGCCTGAATATTAATACTCATATGTATGTATATACAGGGTGTCCCATAATTAGCGTGCAATACTTTAACAGCAGATTTTACGTACAAAAATAAGAAAAAAAGTTCCTATAAACTTAGGCCGAGAAATGCTTTCTAAGAGAACTACAGCCCCTAAATGAGGAGCCCCTGAAGATGGTTTTTAATTAATATCTCCAAAACTGTTTAAGAAAGAAAAGTGAAATTTTGGGATTTAATCAAACGTTTTATAGCCAATAAGATGTAATAATAACAATTCAAAATTTCCATGAGGGGTGGGTCAGATAGATAGGGAATAGCGTCTTATGCTAGGATTTGATGTCAGATTATGAAATTTCGGAATTTTACACACAAAAAAGGTCCTCTCGTTAAACTTTGATATTTTCCACTGTTTTCGCTTAAAATCCATTTAAAAATTACCTTAAATAGCATAAAAGATCATAATGAATTCACAAGAGAGAAAAATTCAGAGTAGGCCATAAAACACAGCTGCCATCTTTAGGAAAAATTATTTAAGACAGGTGAGTTTCATGTAATATGTGACAGGGTGTTTAAAAATTGTCCATGGCCAAGTTTAAAAATTATCCATGGCCTACGCTGAATCTTTTTCTCTAGTGGTGATTTCATTATGAATTTTTATGCCAAGTAAGGTAATTTTTAAATCGATTTTAAGCGAAAACGGTGCATGCTATCGAAGTTCATCAAGAGGACCTTTTTTGTGTGTAAAATTTTATGATCTAATATCAAATCATAGCACAAGATACGTACAAAAAAGTTAGGGTAGTTTTACCCTCCCTCCCTTTCTATCTGACCCACCCCTTATGAAAATTTGTTATTATTCCAACTGGGCTATAAAAAGTTTGATTATATCCCAAAATTTCACTTTTCTATCTTAAGCAGTTTTGGAGATATTAAATAAAAACCATCTTCAGGGGCTCCTCTTTCGGGGGCTGTAGCTCCCTTGGAAATCATTTCTCGACCTATTTTATAGGAACTTTTTTTCTTATTTTTGTACGTAGAATCTGCTGTTAAAGTATTGCACGCTACTTATGGGACACCCTGTAAACAATATATTAATTCATATCAGATTCTTAAAGAAATAGTTCTAAGGGAAAACCCAATGGGACATTTTTTTTTCTGAAAGTAGTACATAATACTTTCATATTTTAAAGAAAATAAAAATTTAAAATAAATCTTTTTAAAGCCTATTTATTCTTTATTTAGTTTGAAATTAATTTAAAATACTTTTAAACATAAAATAATGTTATGTTTTATTATTGGTTTTTTTTAATTACCATATTTTTGTTAAAAAACAAATTATTAAATGAAAGGCATTTCCTTTTGTTAGTATGGACAGCAAACAATATGGCGGTTTTAAGAAGCTTTTACTTATTATACATAATTTAATCTGCATCTGGTTATTTTATTGTTTTTAATTTAACTACTTTATTTACCTATCGGTTATTTATAACCCTTTGGTTTTGGTTTGGTTAGAAAATATATTTAAATTAACCAAAAAGTTATATCAATAGTTAAATTTAACCAAAAAATATAGTCAATTTGAACTCTTGAAATATCTTGGGTAAATTTACCTATTTCAAGAGTTTAAGTTGACTATAAATAAACCAAATATTTAACTAAACTGCGCACCACTCAATGTGTCGCGACCAAAAATTTCGTCCTTTTTCAAAAGGACATAACTTTTTTGTTTATTGAACGATTTTATTTTGGTTTGTGATGTCTGCTAGTTCCATTCTCTGGCAATTCATGCTATAGATATGAAGCTCACGGTTCTTCAAGTAAATTTACTACAGGGTGATATGTAAAACAGTGAAAAATTTCAATTACTTCATCCAAGCCCCGTTTGTAAAATAAATATTTTTTTCTCGTTTTTACTTTGAAATAATGAAGTATTATGTCTTACCTTGAAACATTTTTCAAATTTTTCGAATTGGAATCTTAGCAACAAAAATATGATTTTTTTTTCAATGGAGTACATTTGATGCTTTTTTGTAGGAAATACACTCAGCCTTTTTAAGAACAAAAAGATAAGATGGTGAAAGATTGTTCCTTGAATAATTCTGAACAAGCGACAAGCAACAAACTTTCATTATTTTCAGAGGAACCTAAGCAAAGACCACTTTTTCAAAATTACATTTTAGTGAAAATTTTCGAAAACTAAACCTGAACCGATATTTACGTTCGTGACATGTTTTCTTCATAATTTTGACTTTGATTGTAATTCAGTTGTGAAATTTAGGTTTCAGATAAAACCAAAATCACCAAGAATCAATATTCGAAAACAATTCCTGGATGATAAATGTCTTAATAAAATCTGATTGCTGGATTTTACTGTTTTTTACTATGTTTTGCATTTTTAGTACGTTATTATCATGTCACTGAATGATCAAATCAAGGATCAAATGATGAAAATTAAATGCCAATAATTTTGTGTTGGTGGACGACAATGCCCGTCCGCATCGCGCTTATATCGTAAATGAATATTTAAGGAACCATGATATTGAGAGAATGAATTGGCCACCTTTGTCTCCGGATATGTATCCTATTAAGCATGTCTGGAGCAGGATGAAACTGAAGATGAAAGAGAGGAAAGGACGCATGGAAAATTTTGATGAATTGGTAAATTCGATTCAGGAAGAATGGGAAGCCATACCCCAGTAATTTCTAAGGAACTTGGTCTAGGGAATGCTCAGGAGGGTTAACGAATTATTACGGGTTAGGGGAGGGCCAAAGAAATATTAAAAGTTATTATTGTTATTGTTTGTTACATTTTTCTGTTGAATGTTGTAGTTTTTATTATGATTATATCTTCGCATAAAATTTTCAAAAATAAACAAACAAATTTTGTATTTAACTTTATTACCAATTAGGTAGGTACTTATCAGTAATAAGTTATCACTAGTGTGCAATATAAATGTAATTTATGTAACATTATCCTAACCACTCAAACAAAAATGAATCCCCAAATGGCATTGGCAAAGGCATGTTATTGAGACATTTAACAGCCAGGAATTGTTTTCGAATTTTGATTCTTGGTGATGTTGGTTTCATCTAAAACTTAAATTTGACAACTGAATCACATCAGGAGGTCAAAATTATAAAGCAAACATGTCACGAACGTAAATATCGGTTCAGGTTTAGTTTTCGCAAATTTTCTCCAAAATGTCATTTTGAAAAAGTGGTCTTTGCTTAGGTTCCTCTGAAATTAATGGAAGTTTGTTGGTTGTCGCTTGTTCAGAATTATTCAAGGAACAATCCTTCACCATCTTATCTTTTTGTTCTTAAAAAGGCTGAGTGTATTGCCTACAAAAAAGTATCAAATGTACTCCATTGAAAAAAAAAATCATATTTTTGTTGCTAAGATTCCAATTCGAAAAATTTGAAAAACGTATCAAGGTAAGACATAATACTTCATTATTTCAAAGTAAAAACGAAAAAAAAATATTTATTTTACAAACGGGGCTTGGATAAAGTAATTGAAATTTTTCACTGTTTTACATATCACCCTGTAGTAAATTTACTTGAAAAACCGTGAGCTTCATATCTATAGCATGAATTGCCAGAGAATGGGGCTAGCAGACATCACAAACCAAAATAAAATCGTTCAAGAAACAAAAAAGTTATGTCGTTTTGAAAAAGGACGAAATTTTTGGTCGCGACATATTGACTGGTGCGCAGTTTAGTTTGTAATATTACCAATATGTTTCTTTTATTAGTTAAATTATACAAAAAACCTTAACCATGGTTAACCAACTGCAGTTGGTAAATTTAAAGGGTTATTTTTTAATTCATAGAAACATTAAAAAAAAGTTATTTTACTTATTTTGGTTAATTTAAGCAGTTGTGCTACTTGGGATAATCCTTGCATGTTTTCAATTGAAAATTTCTCTAATATGTAAAAAACATCATCACAACTTTAGCAATAGGCTGTATTTTTTCTCATTAAATTTAATTGTTCGGACATTCTAATTACTCTGGTACCCGCATATCAATAACTTTCCCATAACGTTTGATTACAACACGCCGCAAATCTCCCAGTTTCACCCACTTGATAAACAAATACAAATTGTTCGCGTGAAACCCGATTTATATCGACTCATTATTTTTATTAGACAACGCATTACGCATATCTACGTTTATTATCGCTATAATTAATTAACCTTTATTGTAATGATATTAATTATCCAATACGCCATTCAGAGTAAGCCGTGATTTATGAGAAACCTGTCACTAGGCGATGCCTCAAATTCAAGATAATAGCCGGCCATACACAGACGTTATTGCGCGCGGTTTATCGTGTTATCTGCAAAAACATATGGAAAATCATGTACGTGAGTGAGTATCGCCGCGCGCAATGATAGAACGGGAAGGGATTTCAGACGTGCTTTTCTCTGGAGTGTGGCGTGTCCACACGCCACATTCCGCGTCACGGTTTACCTTTGCTTGGCAAAATTTCACGTTGAAAATTTGTACATGAGCACATGTAGTTTCAAACAACTCGATAAATGACACTTTTTGCCCACTCACATACGATTTTTCCTTTGAAACTGATATACCACGGGCAATCACTTGCTAAATCATTTGAATACTTTATCAAGTGTATGGAACATGACGCTTTTTTTGCCACGCCGTTCTTTCGTGCATGCAAACCGCTACATGCCAACACGCCACGATAAACCGCGCGAAATAACGTCTGTGTATGGCCAGCTAATGTGTAATAACCAAGTCGCTCCTACATAGTTACTGTATGCACTTATGCAGATACCACTGAATTTACTGCTGATTCAATATTACAATTTTCCTTCAATTGTTTATTGTTTTTTGTCTTTCTCATTGTTTTACTTAACAATACTTAACTTTAGCCACAGAATAAACCTTAGATAAATTACCTGAACAATAATTATTACTGTTATTATTATTATTATTATTATTATTATTATTATTATTATTATTATCCATTGTAATGCTAGCTTCACATAAAAGGGTTTGACAAATAGAAAACATAAATTTCATGGTATATTTTTTTTAAGTTTCCAAAATATATTTTGACAGCTGTCATCTGTCACCTGTCATTTTGACAGCTGTCATCTTTCGCCTGTCATTTTGACAGCTGTCAAATGTCACCGGTAATTTTTGAAATAAACAAAAAGTAACTAATCCTTTTGATCAAATAACTTCAAATTTTGCAAGAATTTGTTTTTTTTATATTTGAAACTGATGTGGGGATCTAGCCAAATTGTTTTTTTTTAATTATACAGGGTGTTTCCAGTATCTTTGAATTTTGACGTGATACAGCTAAACCAAGAACGGATTTGTAAAGTAAAAAAATATAAAACAAATTTTTCATTTTAACAGACTATATATGTATTTTTACTCATTTGTTTTAATAAAAAATACTTCAGACAAAAATTATAGAAAATTTTATAAAAAATAATTTCGTTTTTTCACTTTTTATTGTGCAATATACAGTAGGGTGGGCCGATTTTAATATTTTTCAAATATCAAATTGTGCAATGGTGGAAAAGTTGTGCATTTATAAGGCCAGAAAAATATTATAAGAGTTTTTTTAATTTTAATTTCTTAAACTGCCGCAAGGCCTTGAAATATCTTAATGTAATTTAGTATCGTTATAAATACGAAAAAAATTATCTGAGAGAAAATAGGGTTAAAAAAGTTTTGAATGATAAATATTTATTAAAAAAAAACAAAAATAAAAATGAATTTATCATCAACACAAATTTATTTCAATTTATAATCCTGTTTTACCTGCCATTTTTCACAAACACCCAAAAACCACAAACAGATACTACTTGTAAAAATTTCTATTATTCAACTAATTGACGATGTCAAAATATTATTTATATAAACAGTGAAGCCAACTGTCAACTGTCCTACGTCAAACACGAAAATCTTAAAAAATATTTATTCTCCATTTTACGCCGAAAAAATATTAAAGGAAAATAGTTTATTTTCCTATTTCACAACTTTCCCGCTTATGAATAATTTTAAATTTTTAAAAATTACTTTTAAGTTTTTAGAGGCGTTGCGGCAGTTCAAAACATATAGATATCAAAAAAAATATTTTGCAAAAATGTTTACTTTCCTATTTCACAACTTTTTCTTAAATGCAGAATTTAATATTTTTAAATTTTAGAAGTTAAATATAAAATCGGCCCACCCTAATATACAGGGGCCGAGATATTCGCTAAAAACTAAAAAAATGTCATTTACTCTAAAACTCGATTCCATCTCCTTCAGAAGTAACACATAGTGTGTTAAATGTCTTTAATGTTATAGTTGAAATCCATGTATTTATTTGTGTGGACTTAAGCGATGCATAAAAACTGGAATGAATAACTTCGAATTAAAAAGTCCCATGTTGTTTCACGAACGGATGAATGCTGCAGATAAATAAGTGTCACTTACAAAACAGCGGACTAATGCCGGTTTTGCAGCAAGGGATGAGTGGCTGGCGAAATTGATAAAAAGCCAGCGCACAGCGAAAGATTTTGTAATTGGTCCCGACGTTATCGTTCAAAATTCCCAAACCGTTAACTAACATAAATTGTTATTTGCGATAACAACGAAATAAATTGCCTCGCAAAGTGCTCATTTTGCTGAGCACAATAAACTATTTTCGCTATTTTGGGATTTTATACATGAAGGTAAAGGGATTTACAACTATAGTGCACAACATTTGATGCAAAAGAGAAGTTCCAAACAAAATATCGTCAGTCTCACTCTGTATATGCCATAATTTATTATTAATTTCTTGTAGCTTGAATCAATGCTTGAATTGAGCTGTACCTGGTAGATTAAGTTAATAACATAACCTAACTGTCAATCAGTTTTGTCAAAACTTGTATTTACATATTTTTACATTATGATAAGTAGTGCTTCATTGCACAATGAAGAGTTGAACAATTTGAAATTGGACAGACCTGGGAAAGGTAAAACCCCAGCACAAATCCAGAAACACACTTTAACGCAGACAATAGAATCGAATCCTGTGGAAAAAAGTCTACATTTACTATCGAAAGGGGATGATTTGCAAAAAATAAGCGTGATAGAAAATGTTCCGACGCTATTAAGTTCTTACAACCAAGCTACGTTAATCAAAATAATCCCGAAAATTCAGCAAGAATTGATTAACTCTTCCTGCGAAATACACATAACGACGAGCGCGGTTTTTAGACAACTCATAGAAAAAAAAGTTCCAGTAAACATACTGCAATCTGTGCTGCTGGGAATCGAAAATAAAGACCCCGTAATCTCAAACACATGGATGGAAACGTTGATACAAGCAATACCATTCCTCACGAACGATGCCATTAGAACCAAATTACTACCCATGGCCTTACTGAACTCGCAGATCACCAAACCTTTGCTAACTCGCTTGAGCAGCTGTAGACTGCTGGGCCAAATGGCCGCCAGTTCGCAAATATCCAGCAACGAAATACGTACCGACATCCTCCCGTACGTGCAAAGTCTGTGCCAGGACCACCAGTTCGAAGTTAGAGCGGTGATGTGCAGCCAAATACCTTCCGTAGCCAAAGGGGTGTCCAATAAAGACTTGGTGAACTTGTTTCTTGTACCTTGCGTCTTGGAGTTGTGTTCCGACGAGAATATGTCCGTGAGGTGTTCGGCTGTGGAGGTTTTGGTCGCTTTGTGTCCAAACTTATCGGACGCCATCTTACAAGGCACCATAATACCCGTGTTCAAACAAATGTGCACTAAAAGTGCGGATGAACACAATACGACGTACCCTGTTATATCGAAGAACTTGGAAGTGGTCTTAAAGCACATGGAACGCCTTCTGTCGGAATCTGACTGCGTGTGGTTCTTGCAATACTACAAGTCCCTCACTGTTCGCGGTTTCCACAAGAGAGTTGACCAAGACCCAGCCCTGGGAGTCTTGTGTAGGGAATACTGCGCTTTGAGTCTACCGGCCATGGCTCAATTCACTCTGAAACGCGCACCGTTGCAAAACAACATAGAAATGTGGCATATGATTCTGCAAGACCTAACTGGAGACCCCTGCTATATAGTGCGTAGAGCCGTCGCGTCCACTTTAGTGAAATCAATGACAATTATGGGAACCCACTCCGGTAATTTCCAGGATAGTGTCATAAAACTCCTCAAAGACGACGCAGAGGAAGTTTTGGACGCTTTAGTGCCGAACATTGGTTTTATTTTGATGATATTTCAGTCCCAAGGACTTATTGCCAAAGACTCTATAAACCGCGTATCTCTAGAAGTGTGCAGGGCCTTATTGAAATGCGAGATGGAGTTGTTTAACGTTTTAAACTGGAGGAATCAGCAATTGTTCATCAAACAAATAGAATGTTTACCCTACTGCGTTCCCTCCGATTTTATACACCTTCATTTCACGCCGATGTTATTCAACATCGCCATCGAAGGGAGAGTTAGGCCTGTTAGGGTGCAAGCTACAAGAACTTTACTGGTATTCTTGCGGTTGAATGGAAAGGAGCAACAAAGAAAGTGGATAAGGGATAATTTGTTTAACAAGTTGTGCCTCTCGAACTCGTGTTACACCAGATGTATATACATCAAAATGTGCGCGCATGCCTTGACGATATTCAGCAACAGGTATTTCAAGGAGCACTTCTACAAAAATCTTTTACACCTTGCTGACGACCCTGTATCGAATATTCGGTTGCAACTGATTGAATTGGCGCCCATACTGAAAGACATACTCACTTTACCCGGCGATAAATTCCTTCTGACGAATTTGGACTTGGCTATCACCAAAATGGGTTCTTCGAAAAGCGATAGAGATAGAGACGTTTTGTACTCCATTGACTGCACGCTCAAAAAAATGCGCACGCTGTCGCCACCAAAACAAGACATGATTGTGGAAGATAAGCGGCGACTGGAGGAGGAGGAAAAAATATTTTCCGGGAAGCCTTTCACCGACCAGAGATTTGCACCCATTCTCGCCCAAAAACCCGCAGTCGTAAGACCAACACCACACAAGTAGCTACAGTTACGTATATCATACATTATGGTTTAATTAATATTAATTTCTCCGTTACATCATTTATTTTACACGATAGAATATTGTAACAGATCAATGGACATAACTGCAGGCCAGGTGAAATGCTTTTTTGCATAGAACATGTGAGTAGGTAAACTATTTGTATCAGTGAAAGTGACTTGCACTGATTTCCTGTTCACCTTTTCAAATACAATTACTACTAAAATGTACATTTTAAACTTTTAACTGCTTTTATTTCAACTTGAGTAGCTCTCGAAAAAGTCGTTGATTACCTTTTATTTGATTCTGAAAGTGTTATTGTCGATACACTAAATTGCTTCGATGAAATCCAATGAGCTGATATATTTCTGATGGGTACACTTCGATCGAACAATCGACGCGTAGGTGCCGATTAGTTACAATCTGCCTTCGAGTTTTATTTTACGTGGATACGTGTTTGCGAGGCGTTAGATACCGTCTGATATATCGGATTAATACATCAACTTGATTAATATTGTCTGCGTCGCTTCAGAGAGAATATATGAGGTTTCATAAACGTTTTTTGAGGATGTTTGAGCTATCTATGGGAGTAAAAGATTATCCGTAGTCTACTATCTTAAAATTAAATAGTCAAAATTATACTATTTGAATTAGAACCAGCATTGTTTACTACTAAAATAGTGGGTTTCACTTTTAATTAGTTATTTTTTACTACCGTTTCTAAGGGTAAGAGAAATTTCTTGAATCGTTTTTAATTCTTGCGGCCAACAACAAATTATTGTTAGAGTTAAATGCACCAAATGGCCCATAAAAACACACAAAGATACAAAAAATTTAGCTCAAAACAGAAACACAAAAAGATATTTAACTTTAAAATATTATTAAAATATTTATACTCTCTAAAAATGACTAATTTAATAGTTATTAGTGGCTGCTTTTTCACTTGTACCATGGTTAACCATATAATACCATGGTATCCCAAAATTTAACACCCAAGTGGAGCAGTTTTTGAAATATACTCAATTCCATATTAAATGGAAAATTGAATATAACTCAAAAACTGTTCTACTTTTTTAACTTTTGACGACATTTTCGGATTCAGGGGACAATTTTACATAAGAATTGGCTGTTAAATTTTGGGATAACATTGTATCCCATGGTTAACCATGGTACAAGTGAAAATGCAGCCACTAATAACTATTAAATTAGTCATTTTTGAATAATTCATTTTTAGAGAGTAGATAGATATAACTAATTTTTATAAAAGTATCAGTGAAGCCTCGGTTAGAAATCCGCTTGACAAGCGACAGACCAGAGTTCAAACCACGACTGGATCAAAAGTTTTTTAAATTTAAATCTACTAATTTGACTAATTATTAGTGACTGCTTTTTCGCTATGACAATTAGTCAAATATTACTTATATTAAGTCATTTTTGATTCATTCATTTTAGAATCCAGTAGAAATTTAAGATTTGTTATATATGTAAGGAAGTAGCATTATGTTTAAAATATTAGAAAAATAGATTTAAATAGATAATAGAAATTGATAATGGGAAATAATAATGGTAGAAATGTTTCAATTTGGCATTAAATTCAAAATCGTTATATTTAATAATAAAGTCCTTTTGAAATCGGTATTTACAAAGCTGGTTTTCAAAATAATCCTATGAGCTTCAGTTCATAAATTAATTCACTACAAAATGTAAGCGAACAAAGTTCAATTGAAGTTAATTAACAGAGTTACCGTTCGATAGCAACTCAATTTTTTTTTAATTTTTCGTCCGTTATCAACGATACATTTCAATATTGGTTTAGCGCTTTATGCAAATGAGAGTTGGAATACAATATGAATTAATTTATTCTGTTTCTAATATTTCAATACTGTTAAATATTAAATTTAAATTAATTAAAGTGGAAACATCTATTTGCCGCACGCAGACAACCATAAATTTGATATAATAAAGCAAACATAACATTAAATATGACGCGTTATTAAATTTCGCTTCCCTACTTGTTTGTATTATAGTCTATTGTATTATCGCGAGTGTAAATTACCAATTACACTATCACTTAGTCAACAAAGATGTAATATTGTCTTATTACAACTAACTTTGTTATAACCGTAGGTATATGCTGAAATATTGTCTGGTTTACGACTGACTAAATTTTAGCCTTAAGACATTTTATGCTTCCACAAAGTAATAATTTTTCGTTAGCGTTAAGTGGATAACATGGCTTATATGGCAAAATTCTTTACTAATGCTATGCCTTTATGAATTTTTAAACTGTCAGTTTTATTAGTATTAAAATACACATCGGATAAAGCACCGAGATGATGAGCTTTTCTATTTGGCAGAAATTGAAAAAATTATAAAATTTTATTACATATTTTGCGTTTATAAGTTGTCATCCTTTAAGGATGCGCTTACCTGTTTCTTTTTTGATTTGTTTTTAGAGGAAAAATCACAAAATTACAAAAACTGATTATATCCTCCGTGAATCTGTTTTTGCTTTAAATTTTGTGCAACGGATGGCGCTTTAATCATTTTAAATAAGCAAAAACCTCTGTTTACGACATTATAGATGCATGTGATTCTTGAAGGTCAGTTAGAATTTATATGCAGATGAGAGTGTTGCTGTTTTATTTAATTCAAAAGTTTAAGTTCATTAATTTGCTATTTAAAAACCTATGCACCGTGAAGGGTAATATCTCAGTAAGTAGATTTTTTTATAAATATTTTATGTATGAACAATTGCATTTTTAAAAAATATTACAATAACTTATTTCAAATATACAAAGGGATGTTTAAAAAAACATACGAAATCCTAACCTCCGTGAAGCTATCTTCCGTGAAGCTCTAATATTCAAAATGTATAATTTTTTAAAATCTTATGCCAAATAAAACATATTGTTGTCGCTTACGTCATACTCCTCGGGATTCTCCCTCTCCTGCTCCTGCTCCTGCAACTCCTGCTGCCTGTACAAATGCCTGTACTGCGCGGGCACGTTAGCAGGCCTGTATTTCACCTGGGGGGAAGTCTGCACCAAGTACTGCTGGTGTTGCTGTTGCGGTATTTGAGCCACCGGTACAGGTTGAGGTTGCCTGTTTAGGGTGGTCGATGTTAGTTTTCTTTGCGCAGCCGCAATGGCTTCCTGCGCTTGCCCCTGCTGCTGAGCCGATTGCACCTGCTGGACGTAGTACGGTCCTGCAGCTTGGTGAGCCGCCCTCTGGATCTAAAACGTTTAGTAATTTAGATGGAAATTATATTTTTTTATAAATTATAAAATTAGGTAATTCTACGCTTTTAATATTGATTTTTATTCAAAAACTGTTTTCTAAATTTATTTGGAAAAAATGTTAACTTGTTCAGAGGAGTGGTCTATTAGTAATATAAGTTCTAAAATTATATAATATCATATAATAATGCTGTCTATAAAAATAGTAAACTTGATACGTAATAGCAATGTAATTGCTTATTACTTATACCAAAAAATATTTTATTTCATAGAAATTACTCTGTTACCTTATGTGATACATTCACTCTATTAGAAATGTAAAAAAATGGCTATTGTTTTGTAATAATAATTAATTGTACCTATATTATTTAGGTCTATTTGCACGGTGCTGTTCTGAGAAGTGGTTTCTTGTTTATAAATTTTAGATTTATTTAACACAAAAATTAAACCTGGAAAATAAGATTTTCTAAAATTGTATGAAAGTAACGCAAACATTAATGTAATCCTATCAAAGTGAATCAGTTTCGCATGATTTGTAATAATAATTTGTTCTAATCGCATTAGAAATATGCAACAAGTATTAGCTAAAAAAGCGAGTTTTAATCAAACGTGCAGTGAACTAAGCCTGCTGCGATCGAGCAATAACAACCAACAGCAGATAGCGGAATATGCCGATATATCGGCGTTTTTCCTTTACTTTCTCTTTCCTCGCATGTTGTTTGCTGTTGTTGCCTGTTGGTTCAAATTGAAGCCGACTAATTGCAGGCACATCCTACCTACATGAAAAATTTAACGAGCTTTTCTCAATGGAATCATTGTTGATCATCAACAGTTGATCACAGTTTTATATATGTACATATACATTAAGTTATAATTCAATTGTAGATTTATGTACATTTTTATACATTTTATATAGGTACAGTTTTAACCCTAAAAATGTTTTATATACAGTTTTAAGTCTTTAAAATATGATCTAAAATATTTTAAATTTGTTTGGTATATTTAGTATATAAACAGTTTTGGAATATTTTAGGAAAGATAGACATGTTAAATAGTACGGACAATTTTAGAGCGTTTTGAAAAACGACAGTTCTAAAACTGTTTTTGGATCATTTAGATTATTTTTGACAGTTTTAGACAGTTAAAATGCAGATTTATATACATTTATACACTTTTAATATACAGTTTTAAGTCATTAAAATATGATCTAAAATGTTTTAAACTTGTTTTGTATATTTAGAATATATACTGTTTTGGAATATTGTAGAAAGGATAAACATTTTAAATGGTTCGGATAATTTTAGAGCCTTTTGAAAAATGACAGTTCTAAAATTGTTTTTGGATCATTTAGATTATTTTTGACAGTTTTAGACAGCTTTAATGCAGATTTATATAAATTTATACACTTTTTAAATACAGTTTTAAGTCTTTAAAATATGGCCTAAAATGTTTTAAACTTGTTTGGGTTTGGGTATACTTAGTAACTACATAAACAGTTATGGAATATTTTAGGAAGGATATACATTTTACATATAACTCTAAAACTGTTTTTGGATCATTTAGATTATTAACAGTTTTAGACAGCTCAAATGCAGATTTATATACATTTATACTATTTTTATATAAAGATAAGTGTCTTAAAAATATAGTCTAAAATGATTTAAACTTGTTTGGTATATTTAGTATATAAACAGTTTTGGAATATTTTAGGAAGCGTAGACATTTTAACACATTGCGTGCTACGTGTATATTTGGAAAGTATCCTAGGGAGCCATGAAAAATAAACCTAAAAGCATGATGTCTCATATAAATCATCGAAAAAAATAGTAATTTTCCGAATTTGCTCGAACCAAATTCACCAAAATGTTCGTGGCAGGCCACAAATTAATAACCCATAAGATAAAGCGTGTAGCGTCTAGCATATCTGCAAGACGCGGCTTGGTAGTGAATATTGTCTGTCTTGCATATATGACAGACGTGGCCCCTCAGGAAGTAGCACTGTCTGTCACATATGTCAGACGTGGCACGCAATGTGTTAAATAGTTGGGACTAACTTACTTGTCTATCAACATTGGTAGCCCTCAGAACCTGCTGAATGGGCTGCTCGACCTGGTGCTGCTGGCCGGCGTAAGTCTGCAAGCCTTCCCTGTCCCTTTGGGTCTGATAGACCGCCGGTCTGATGGGCCTGTACGCAGTCAGACCTTTTGCCTGCGGCCGGTACTGTGCGGTCAGCTGCTGGGCACTCAAGTAATTCTGGTACTGCGTCGGCACGGACGCCGGAAAACTTACAGCACTAGACACGAAAATAGCGACAAGGAGGAAAAGACGAGGCGTCGTCGTCTTAGTCGAGTCCATTTTCGAGATTTATTAACACTTTGCCGGGACACGTTAAGCGGTATTGTAAAGGCGATAAACTGAAAATTAGATGTATATATACGGTCTGGAGTCCCTACTTAGCAGCGGCTTTCGAGCCAGAGAAAGGTGGTCTCTAAGCGTAAGGGTCACTGCATATATTCGATAACGTTGCGATTTTTTTTCGCTCCGCTTTTATCTGCTCGAATAGCTGAACAATCGTAAAAATGATGGTGCCTTTGACTTCTTCCGATGTACATATTTTAAATGCAAAATAAGGGAAAATACTATTGTTTTATATCTAGAACTAAGTAACTGTCTTGGAAATCTCTAAAATATCTTAAAATCTGAAATGAAATCTGTAAAATTTCCTAAACGTGTAAAAACTAAAATCACAATATTTCGTTTTTGTATCACCCGTGATATCACTGAAAAAACATGTCGCAGAGATAATCTTGAAAAAACTGATATATTAGTAAATGCATAAACAAAATAAAAAAACGTATTATATTAGTAATCACCGGTGATTCATATTGTTAGGGATATTTTAATGTATCACCAGTTTTATATAGTGGTCTAAATTAAACAAAAAATATACCATCGGACATGGTTTTATATGTTTATCTACTTCTGTTGCATAATATTAAGTTTTTTCGTATATAATGATAACAATTATATCCGCCCCGCCTAGCAACTCATTATTCCCGTTGTTAGGCATTAGTTTTAAATTGGGAGAAGGAGACTATATTAATAATTACAATTTTTGGAAAGTGAGGTTATCCATCTGACAGATGTCAGATTTTATTTATTTATTTTTATCTCATATAATATACTATTATCTATTTTGCGTTCATAATGACTTCATTATAACACCGCTTTCGGTGCTTTGATGAGATACTTTATCCCACCCAAAATTTTGATTTTATAGGTTGGCTATACTTTAAACAGCATAATATTTTGCATATTGGTTATATTATTTTTATGATTTTTCCAGTACTTACGAGACTTTTCTGGCAATAAATTTTGTTTAACACTAAAGAAAATTATTTTTTTCTTCTTTAACATTAAGAACCGCTTATTGTAAATAAGTAAATTAAGGACGGCATGGAGAATCGATTTTGACATTAACTGTCAAACGAATGACTGATACCAACTATCTAAAGTAAAATTCGACCAAATTAAATTTAAGGTATAAAATTAATTTTTTTATAGAATTTTTGCAAAATAGATAAAATAGCAGCTCCTTTGTCGCTTGTTTTATAAATTGTATTAGTTCTTTAATATAATAATAATAATAATAATAATAATATATTTATTTAGCCTCTGCTATTACAAAATATGTTAACCTAGGTATAAAATAAACATTGCATAAAAATTATTATGCACGATGACATTATAATATGACAATTATAACAAAAATTCTTTGACGTAAACGTCTTTTTATAGCCCGCGGGCGTTATTATGGCCCAGCGGGCTATAATGAAACGTCAAAAATTAAAAACAACAATGTTACACCATTTGATATATTCGAAGTAAGTTTTTTCGTATAAAGATTTTGATTTTTCCTGCAGCAGGCCGCAATTTTTCGCCTTTTCAGCTGCTTCCTCAATTTCATTCATCTTTAAACTTTAAAACTGACTGATGTCAGTTGACATTATAATATGACAATTATAACAAAAGTTCTTTGACGTAAACGTCTTTAAAAACAATAATATATTAAAAATAATAATATATTAATCGTGCATAAAGTTTTGTATGCATTGCTGGCATAACTGGTTTTTATGGTCCTACGACGCTTTTCTAGCCCTCGCGCTAACGCGCTCGGGCTCGAAATAGCGCCTCGGACCATAAAAACCTTATTATGCCCTTAATACATAAATAACTATTAATAAAGCTAAATTGAAAATTATCCATATGCAAAATTCTATAATAAGCAGGAAAAAACGTATTACCATTGGCCCCAGGAAAAGTTTCATAAGCAAAAAATCATATTTCCGTCTAACACGCCATTTCAAATATACTTAGGTAAACATATAATAATCTCTAATAATTATTACACAACTAATTAGGTTAGGAAATTATTTATTAAAAGACATGTACATATAATCAACATGGACTAATTTCTTGTTAAGTATTTTTAATAAAAAACTCAATAAGAACTGTTGAAGAAGTCAATGAAAATGGTGATGATGTGGAATGAGAAGATAGTGTTAAACACTAAAAATACAGAGAAGGTACAATATCTTAAAAGTGTTGTTTTATGACCACAAAACGATTTATTAAATACATTTCCCGAGTAGTTTCTTACATTTCAAAGTTACTAGACCGTGTAACAGCGAACATTAAACATTGACGTGATAGCCATGAACTCCCCAGATCCACAATAATTATAATTCCTTAAACAAATTTATCTGTCGACTAATTACACAGTGTGTTACTTTCTTTTGAGATAATCACTTAATTATTTACATCTATAGATAGTTCGTTTCTTATTCAAATAAAAAAGTCCATATAAGAATTTTAAGAAAAAATGTCTTAAAAAACTGTCGAATCATAAAAATGCCTTCATCAGTCTGATTTTCCGAGTAAAAAATTATTATCGTTATCGTTTATTATTGCTAAACTAATTTTAATATTTTAAATAACAATGCATAAAGAAATGTCACTGCAACTGACAAAAGCGAAAAAATGTTTTCTAAATATAAGAATACCTTTATTCTATTCTAGTATAACTAATAAACTAAATCGAGGCAGTGACTTATTATTAATACAAAAAAAAGTGCGATTCAGGGATTCGGGGTCGAAGAGTTTATTAATCAAACGCCTTTTGAAATATGTTTTTGTAGTACGTATATATGGATGAAAAAGAACGGAGCAGTAAATTTAAATTTCTCATTTTGCAACCGGCGACTTTAAATACGTCACTCAACGTGTAATATTCTCCGCGGAGTCGCCAAGTTTCGAGTAAGTTTTTCCATGGAAATGGAAAACTCCGAGCGATGCACATTGGCTCATAAAAAGTTTTTGCTGTCTATTTGCAACTTTTAGTTTTTATCCTGGGTCCATATTAGTCTCTATGAGAAAATTGAAAAAAAAATTAGGTTGTAGTCTACTTACAAAGTTTTGGAAAGATTAACCGTCTGGTTAACGAGTAAAAAATTATTAAACACGTGATGTTTATTATAGCTAAACTGTGTTTTGAATGTTGACAAAAATTTATATTCCAATTCAACAGGTATAAGTGCATACGAGGAAAAAATCATTAATTTCTTATTGTTATGTTATAAGATATGCGTTAATTAAATACATCTCCTATACAGCCCAAGTCTTTAATTAATGCATATTTTCTAAGGTGACATTGAAAAATAAAGGAATTTTATTCTCGTATGCACTTATGCTTGTAGAAGTTCCATATAAATTTTTGTCAACTTTCATGGCATAGTTATGCAATATTAAACAATGATGTTGACTGTGTTCAACCAAAATTGTTAATCTGTCACTTTCGTCTAGAAGATCACTTACAAACAATATTTTATTTAGTGACTTTTTTATATAGTAAATTATTTAATAAATAAAAACACAATTGTATTGTTATTTATTATAAGTTATTTTTTAAATAATTATATAAGAAATCTTTGTTTTCTGTTGCTTTATTTTTGGTTCTCATGCCTTTTTTAAATATTTTTTTTTGTAGTTGAACATAATAACAATAGTTCGTTTTCACAACTCATTGTAATACCTAAAATAATACTGCATAAAGAAATGTCACTGCCACTCTCAAAAGCGTTACCATAGAAACCAACTATTTACAACTCTCAATGTTGTCGCGTTTAAATCCTATTCTTTCAATGAAATGTACATTGTTAACAAAAATGTTAACAAAATCACAAAGTAAGTCCAAAATTAATTTAAAAAAAAACTTTATATGAACTATATTATTGGAAGAAATATTTTACAATGTTATAGATTTTATACAAATGAACCTATAGGAATTTTTTTCTTCAGAGGTATATTATATGCAATAAAAAAATCAATAAACTAAGAAATAAGGTGGTTTATTTGAAAGTAGTGAAATATCCGAAACGATATATCAAGCTTTTCATAAAGCAAAAAAATTTGTTTTTCCCCAATGTAGCTAACAGTGATTTTTCAACATCATTTTGGGCCGTGCCCGTCTAAAAGGCAAACCATGTAACGAAAACATCGGAAATTCAGAAAAGCGAGATCAAGTGGCTCAACTTTAAAAAACAGTTTCTTTACGACTTCAAGGCTCGCCCTTGCACTCTAGCACCCAGTTAGGCATTTGTTTTCATTCGATATCCGAGATATTATATACATTAATAATATAAAGCTTTATTTTTTACCTGTGAAAAAGTCCGAGTCATTTTTTTTTAATTTTTTCGCTAAAATATCAGTGGCCTCTAACTTTCCCCATGGGGATTGTCGAAAGCAAATTTTTGACCATTACATTTAATTGTCAATTATCTGTTCATTTTTGTTGACATATTAAATAAATCGCAATTTGAAAGCTTTATGATTAATTTAATGTTTGAGCTGAATTTTACATTTTAACGATGTCAAACTAAACAATCAGCAATTTATTATATAAATTTAAATTGTTCGGTAGAATGATCAATTTTAAGCACTTTCAAGGAATACGTTATTTTTAATAAGTTATTTTAAATTACATTACAAATAGTTTTTTTTTTTGATTTGTTAATTTCATTGTAAAGTTTGTCAATGTTGTTTTAATATTGAAGCACACGTTTCTTATTAAAATAAAAAAGTACAGAATTTGCCTATTATTATTATTTAGTACTTTAATTTGAATATATTATACTTTTTTGCAATAATTATTATGCCTTTTTATTGAATTTGTTTACAAAAATTAAAATGAAAAATCTAAATAGACTAAAGCCGGGTTTGCAGATATACACATATCATTATATACAGGGTATTAGTAGGTACGGATTATTAAGATATTTACGAAAAAACGATTTAAA